AAATTCACAAACATACACATGCACGCACTGGCGTACACTCAAAGATACACATTGACAGATTACAATCACTCACACTTACTACTCTGGCACTCATTCGCAAACAACCCCACACATGAATAATGAAGCAATGCTGCCCTCCCATTAACCGATTCGTCTGATTAAATAAATAGCTTTCAACTGGAAGTGCAAAACAAAATAGTTAACGGGCAATGGAACTGGGAGACCGTGACAGTACACTCCCAAATCATTAATTCACAATGCGGCATCATGTTGAACAAACACTGTTGATCCCACACAAACATCACACAGTGTAAAAGGGCCAAGCAACTAATAAAACAGTGAATGTGTCTGGAGAGGGTAAGGGATAGGCTCCCCACTTTACAGGGACATGGCATGGGTTCCATTGTCATGTTGCGAAGACTTAAAAAAAAAAGCGTACTATAAATGGTTAGGTTACTGTTAGAGAATACATCGGTTACCCACATGTATTCCACAAGGACCCCCACGTTAAAAAAAAAGACGATCCAAAAATAACTAGTTTCGCATAACACTAACCTATCACTATCTAAAAGAGATGGATTTTGCCAATTGTAATGGGCGTTCAGGGTTCCTATTGGTTTGGTTCTGCCATCTCATGCAGCCGATATACTCTCACAGGAGGATTATGTTTCGACACTGCAAACTTGCTCTGTTTGTTCAAAGAGTGTTTGTTTATCAATTGGAGTAAAAAATAATAAAAGCAATACACTCTCTTAGATTGAACTGTAGTAATACCAAACCTTTGTTCTTAAGCTACAAAATCAACCCCAAGCATTACTTGCGTTTGACGTAATTCAGAACTGTATTCTTGGATACCGGGGAGGGGGGAATCGAATGGTACAGTTATTGCTAAAATAACAATATTTTGTATTGGCGAGATAAGGGTTAACAACTAAAGGCTGAAATGAATCAGTGTAAGGGGGAGGGAATGGTCTTTCCATAAACCTTTCATTTAAATTCACTGAAATCACTATAGCTAGAAAGCTCTGAGATCCAGTCTCCTACGACAAAGCAATAGACAATGTTTCTTTCATGATGCTGGAAGCGTTTCGTTTCTGTTGGAGTTTATCTTTGAGTGAGAATACTAATAAAATTACTGTAGCCAAATAGGGATAATACCTCTATGCATGCTAGTTTATTCTGTATCTTTGTAAGTAGAACCTTGTGCATAGAAGTGACAGCTGTTCCCGAATTCTTAAAGTATCGGACTACTCGTGGCTGCCAAAGGATAACGTAAGTGTGAAATTAGAAATTTAGTCATTGGCCTAGCAGTGCTTCCGAAGGTTGTGCGTATTGCAATCAGGAGAAAATATCGAAGGCAACTAAAATGTTGCACCCTCTGACTGGCCTTAGTATCACCTACAATCGGCCAGACTATAGATTTACAAACTAAACATGTGTTCTGGTATTCTAAATGAAGTGGAATGACCATAAAAAGAAGAACTTGTTGAAAAGTAGATGTTTTTTCACCCACACATACACAATTTAGATCACTTAGGAGACTGGCTTTGACCCTACCTATCATGTCCACCCTTAGCCGAGAGGGACACAAAGTCCATACGAAAAGACCTAGATGCTTCATAAAGATCTCCCCATACGTGAATAAAACCCTGGTCTTCTGCATGAGACGGCAAGCTCCATAGTGGTACTGACGTCGATGAAGATGGTGGGGGAACAAAACGAAGAAAAAGACCAAAATTGAAATACTGAAATAAGGAAATTCGACAACTCATATAGGCTTAATTCAGAGTCTGTGACATTCGTACGAATTTACGAACACATGCGCGCACAAACACACACACACGCGCACACACACACACACACACACACGCGCGCGCACACACACACACACACACACACACATTTACACACACATAATCTCTCTCTTATACACACGGGCAAAATATACACATACACACAAACACACAATCGCACACACACACACACACACACACACACACACACACACACACACACACACACGCAGACACACACATTTTAAAAGCGAGACATTGCTGTCACTGAGTTAACAAAACTATGAAATGTTATATTTTGACAAATAGCCAGCTGTTTCGCACGTGAGAAGACATTCTGACGACATGGACATCAACGGACTCCTGGAACAGACTTGGAACAACCCTCCAGAACCCAACAATTTTGGTTGTGCAAGGAAAGCTCTAATCCCATTCTTCAAACTGATGCAAATCACTGGCTGCTATCACGAGTATCGGCATTTTCAAGAAGTACGTTTTTTTCTCCTTTTATTTAGCAGACGCTTTTCAGGAAATAAATCTGACTGCGATTCACTCTAAAGAGATTAATAGCCTGAGTCATGAAACCCGACCAAGAGACCGATCTATGTTGAAAGGGTTGGACCAACGCTCTAAATTAACCTGACTTTAGAATGCAGAAACTCACTGCCGGAAATCAATGTAAATCAGTGCTCCTCAAACTTTTTTTATAGCCACCTTTAAGTTTCATCGTTGTCATTGCCTTTCTCCCCCTTCACCAGGGCATAGGCCACGGGAAACACTTTCCCCCTTTCTCTATCCTGGGCTAGCCTCTTGATGTTATTCCATGTCTTCCCACTTTTCTGTACATCAATTTATGTGATTTCGGCTTTGTCCGCGGTCCTTCATTGTTCTTGCTAATGCAGAAGCTCCTCCGTCTCCCAAGATCGAAAAATAGAACGCTGTGTTTGTCCGTATTTCTATAACTGACTGTTTTTACTGGGTTGGATAGTTGGCCCTCAGCAAGCTGGCACTTTTCGGGTGACTAGACCTTAGCACCTTGAGTCGCCTCTAACGACACGCAGTATCACGGCAAGTGTATTCTTTGTTCCCCCATAGTAAAACTACCCTCCCCCAACCTCCCAACCTCCCAACCCCCCAACCTTTAAGTTTAAGAGGCTGAAATTTTTGTACCTCCCACCTACATGTATTTTGACACCTGCATTAATGAATTTTAATACCTGCCACTTCCCAGGTGATCTCCACCGTGCATGGAAATAATCAAATTGCCCACTGGTGGGTGATATCACCAAATCTGACAAGCACTGGAATGTAACGGCGTCTGTGGCAGTGACTAGCTTCATTTCCGTAGCACACAGATTAAGTGCTTGCGATTCCCTCGAAACGGAAGATGTTCTGGCATGCAGGGTCGAAGTACCTCGCCTCCGATATTATCTACATTAATGGTAAAATCAGGCGTTCCTCAAAACAATGAAACAGAAGAAACATACATTTTTTCGCCCGTTGAGCAATTTTTATAGATTTTTGTTGTTTCAACGTATTCTATGTCCATTAAAAGGCACATTTATTTTTTGTGGATTTTTACTAGAACGAAACTTTGACTACGATATTCATGGTCTTCTAGCTACCAAATTAACTGCAACGCGCATAACGCATACGTTTTCAGCAGGGATTCACGTTATAGATTTACAGTCTTCTTCTTCTTCTTCTTCTTCTTCTTCTTCTTCTTCTTCTTCTTCTTCTTC